ATAATGTAATTAAATGTAACATCCTTGTGGGAGGGGAAAATACAAAAAAACCCCTACCACAGTAGCATTTAACTTCAAAAAAAGTCTCATCCTAAACAGCAGGAAGTCAACGCTGATTCCAACTCAAAGAATCACGTTCATTGGGGCCCTGATAGACTCTACGAGTTCAAGAGCATTTCTGACTGACCAATTCCATGCAATTTGCCACCTATGTCTGGAACTGCGGTCTCAACCCTCAACCACAGCCAAGTTTGCCTGAGGTTGCTATGGTAACATGGCTGCATGCACACAGGTAGTCTAATTTGGCAGACTGTGCCTTCATCCTCTTCAAACGTAGAATGCCCTCTACCGGAGTGGTTTATCTGGCCAAATGAAAGGGTTCTGGCTGTGGTCTCTTCCAGTCCTATGATTTTATGATTTTTGAATGGTTAGAAAAATTCTTAAATTCAGTTTATAAAACAGAAGTTTTCAAAGTGTGGGCATACCCCACCGGGGTGGGGGGGCATGGAGGAACGTTCCAGAAGATGCGGGACCCCTGGGTGCTAGCCACTCCAGGGTTGAGAATGGGAGGCCCCACCCCCAGCCAATCATTTCTATAGCAACATCTACCTTTCCCACATTCCAGTTTAGTATCATATGCTGTCCAAACACCAAACAGTTGTGCGCTGCTTATTTTGCTGGTGAGTTTGATATTTTTTCATAACATTGTGTGGCGAAAAATGAATCGGTACTTATTGACAGAAGATGTTAATGTTCCAAACCAAAAGCCAGAAGCTGAAATGGCTAAAGTTGATATAGAAAAAAATCTGCAAAAACAAGAAAATATGATGAAGCATATTTGGATTTTGGTTTCATTTCCATTGCAGTTAATGGAGAAATCAATGGGTAGATTGCGCAGTAACATTAGCACATGATAGCCTGAAACCAACAAAATTAAGACACCATTTAGAAACAAAACATGGTGATTTGGTAGGAAAGAACAGAGATTTTTTCGAATGAAAGCTACAAGAAATTAATAAAAAAAGAAACACAATGAATAATCTGGTATCTACCTCACAAGTGCTTTAAAAGCATCGTATCAAGTTACGTACCACATTGCCAAGAATAAAAAGCCTTACAAAAACCGGGGAAGAACGCATTCTCTCAGCTGCAATTGACATTTGCAGGATGATGCTTGGTGACGGCATGGCAGAGAAGTTAAAAATGATCCCGCTGTCAGACAACATAGCTGCCAAATTTCTGACATGTCAGAAAATATCAAGGCACAGCTGTTCTCTCGATTGCAATCTAGTTTATTTGCAATCCAGTTGGATGAAACAATGGATATATCAAAAGCTCATTTAATTGCTTACATGGTACTGTCATGGTACATACATAGTACATACATGGTACTCTCATGAAACATCAATATTGGAAGATTTTTTTGTTCTGCAAGCCAATTAAGATGTGTGCAACTGGATCTGAACTGTTTAACATTTTAAACAATTTCCTAATTTCTAATGAGTTGAAGCAGGAAGCCTGCACTGGAATCTGCATGGATGGAGCCCCTTCTATGTCTGGAGATAGGGCAGGCTTGAAAGTCAAAGTGTTTGAAATTGCTCCACATATATAATGGACTCATTGTATGATACACTGCGAAGTCCTTGCAACTCGAAACATGGATCAGGAACTTACTGATGTTCTGAGTTCTTCTATTAAAATTGTGAACTTTATCAAGATGCAGCCCACAAAGGCACATCTCTTTGCAATGCTTTGTGCAGAAATAGGAGTGGAGCAGGGTGCTTTGTTGTTTCACAGACAAGTCAGGTGGCTACCCATGAGGAAAGTGTTAAAACATGTTTATGAACTGAGAAATGAAGTTTGACTTTTTCTAGTGGATTAGAATTTCAGGAACAGAGACAGGCTGTTTGATCCCTACTGGCCTGTGCTTTTGGCTTACCTTGCTGATATTTTTGACAAACTGAATTCTCTAAATGTCTCATTGCAAGGAGCAGAAAGTACTATTTTTGAACTGCACAACAAGATACTGGCATTCAAGAGAAAGGTAGATCTCTGGAAAACAAAGATTGAAACTGGTTTAAGCATTCCATTCCTGTTGTTAACTGACGCTATCGAGAAAGAGAATCTGATCTATTGAGTGTTGTGGAGCCAATCAAGAACCACTAGACTCATCTCAGAGCCAGTTTGAATAAATATTTTTCCCAAAGGAAATGCACCCCTGAATGAGTGGATTATCCAACCTTTTGTAACTGAGACAGTGACTTTGTCCCATCTCTCAAATGACATTCAAAAGTAGCTGATTAACTGCAGAGTGATAGGACACTGGAAATTCAATTTTAAAAACAGTCTATGGGGGATTTTTGGTTGAAAGTTGTCTCAGAATATACAGCTTTGTCAAAGTGTGACATCAAACCTCTTTTACCATTTGGTTCATCTTAGTTGTTTGAGATTGGATTCTCTGCGCTGGCTGTGCCAAACACCAGTACCATTCGAGACTGGAAGAGGAGAACTTTAGAGTGTCTGTTTCAAAAATCTCCTCAAAAATTGATAAACTGTCCACAGAGAGACAGGTACACCCTTCACATTAAGTATCTGTGTATTTGAAACTTTCAGGTGTAGGTAATTTAATTAAAGTTCTGTGAAGGTCTCTGTTACATTTATGAGTAGGCTATCAATAAGGCTGCAAGTTTGTCACAGAGATCTTGGAAGTCATAGATTCAGTGACTTCTGCAGAGGCCAGTGCGCCTGGCTCAGGGACAGCTCAGGCAGCCCCTGTGCCTGGTGCACCAGCCGCTGCTGGGGCAGTCTCAGGCCCCCGCACCACAGCAGCAGCAGAGTTTAGGTGTGTGGGAGAGTTCAGGGGATTGGGGTACGGGATGGGGTGAGGCGGGCTCTGGGCGGGCTTACCTGTTGGGCTCCCTGGAAGCGGCAACATGCCCCTCGCTCAGCTGCTAGGCAGAGGCGTGGCCAGGCAGCTCTGTGCACTGCATCCGCCCAGGACACAGCCCCCGCAGCTCCCATTGCCTGGGATTTTTTGTTTACTGCCTGTAACTTGTCCATGACTTTTACTAAAAATACCCATACCTAAAACGCTTTTACTAAAAATACCCATGACTTAGCTATCAAGCATACTTTTGCAGATGTCTATTTTTGTCTGGGGTGGGGAGGCGCAACCAAAAATTTTAACTCAAAGGGTGGGCTCAGGTCAAAAAGTTAGAAATCCACTGTTGTAAAACAAGGAAGATTAGCAAGAGGTTTTTTTTTTTTTTTTTTTTTAAGAAAGCAGTTCAGCTAAATGCCAGTTCTGTGAAAAACTGGCTATTAAAAGAACTGTTATAAATTTAAGCCAGGACAGAGTATCGCAAGTGTCTGGTGAAAGTCCCACTCCCAATTTGGGAAAGGAGGAAACACCGAGCTGAAGGGACAAAGTTTGTAGGTACAAAGATCAGCCCCAGTTTTTGGTTAGATCTGAGCAACTAAACAACAATAATTGGGAGTTTGTCAAGTGAATGTGTAAAAGGAGCTGTGACATGCACAGGAATTGTGGGCGCTGACTCAAATGTAAACCAGACATGCTACAAATACTAGGAAATGGAGCATCCAGAATTGAACCACCTGATTGGTCCCAAATAGATAAGAGTGATTGAGAAATTTGTAGCTGTACTCAAATAGAGAAAACTGGGTTTCAAAACTGGACCTCTAGAATTTAGCTAGGAGTCTGGATAGCCAAGACAGTGGATGGTCAAATAATCAGTCTGAATTTTATTATAGCTACTAACTGTAAAATATCAAGAACGGTGTCTTGCAAATTCAATCTGTGGTAATTTCCTTAATAGGGGACTGGTTTGCAGTAAACAACTTGTCGCCCAGGGGCTGAAACCACAATATTAGTTACATGCCATAGTAGCGAATCGGTGAAACTTGCTTTGAGACCTTAGCTGACAAAAGTCCTATTGGATCTGAAGCAGGAATAGTCTTCTTCGATTGCTGAATATTTCTGACAAACAATACATGGTAAAAGAATGGACCCACAGCTGTAAAATGTGAATCAGAGGCTACAGTAAATGAAGACACAGAAAAAAAATTTGAAGGGGGAAAGAGATGAAAGTAAGCTCTCACAGTTTCTGTTAGACTTGTTCCAGCACAATGCCATACACTTAAATAAGGAGCAGCAGAACAGTCTGAGAAACTCGGCCCTGCTCCGGTGCTCCGGCCAAGGCACTGGGTCAGGGCGGCACCACACAACTCGTTCCTGCTCTGGCTGGGGTGCGGGCAGCAAAATGTGGCTCCCAGAAGCCGCAGCATGGCCCCACTCCGGCTACTACGCACTCCAATGGGAGTGGCAAGGGCAGTGCCTGGGGATGGGGCAGCTTACAGAGCTGGAGCTGCTTCTGGGAGCCACTTGAGGTAAGCGCTGCTCAGAGCCTGCACCCCTCAGACTCTCCCCACACCCCAGCCCTGATCCCCCTCCCGCCCTCCAAACTCCTCATCCCCACCCCAGAGCCCGCACCCTCTCCCACACGCAACCCCAATTTTGTGAGCACTCATGGCCCCCCTGTGGCCCTCAAGCCAAAAAGTTTCCCCACCCCTGCTCTGAGGCAGGGAGCTGCCAACAGACACTAGGAAGGGAGGGGAAGCTGATCCCTCTCAATAATCCCAGAGCCATATGACGTCCCTCGAGACGTCAAAGAACACGTCCTATTGGCCAGCCTGTGTCATATGAGAGGGGCGCGTGCCTGGCTACTGAAATTCCATTGGTTGGGATGTGACACAAAAAGATGCTGAATGCTGATTAGCTGATGGGTGAGGGAAAGAGGGGAACAAATGCTCGATTTCGATTGGGCGTCGTCGTTGTCACATGAGAGGGAAGCTTGCCGCTGATGCTGAATGTTTATTGGCTGAAGGTGCGCCATGGATGCGGGGAGCGCTGCGCGATTGGTTAATGTGTAGCACGTGGGAGGGGAGGGGAGGGGAGGGAGGCCGGCCGAAGGGCACGCGTGGAGGAGGCTGGGTCGGGCCGGGCTACTGAATGTGGGGCTGCTCGCTGGGGCTGCGGCTGGGGCGCCGCTGGACGCCGCTGCGCCGCGCCATGTCCGGGGGCCCCGCCCCGCCGCGGCGGCCCCGGCCGCCCAAAGACCTGTTGCGGCACCTGCGGGCCCGGGAGAAGCGGCGGAGCTCGGAGTTGGCCGGACCCAGCATCGTCTACGTGCAGGTGGCGGCGGCTGGGAGCCGGGACTCGGGCGCCGCGCTCTACGTCTTCTCCGAGTACAACCGGTCAGTGCCGGGGGGCTGGGTCGCTCCCCCGTTGGGCTCTCCGGGCCTGCCCGGGCCGCCTGCTTCCCCGCGTCGCTGGCTGCGCTCCCACCCACTAATCCGCGTGTGGCGCCCGGCCCGGCTCCTCCTGCCGGCCAGGCCCTCGGCACCGTGCCAGTAGCGCTCCCTGGCTCTACGCCCCTTCCGGGCTGTATCCGACTTAGCGCCCCTGGGGGCCGGGGTAAACTCACCTGCCCTCCGGTGAAGTGTCCCTGCTCCTGCGGAGCCTGCTGGCTCCCCAAACAGGAGGACGCTACACTGGGCCCAGCCAGGTGTCTGTGCGGCCCTATCCGTGCTGCAGGATTTATACACCCCCGTCTGCGGAGCTTTCCTCTTAAAGTGGGGCAAATAAAATTAAACTATTTTGATATAAAAACTTGCCGCTTTCTCTAATAAGCGTTCTAGTCTTATTCCAGGTATCTCTTTAACTGCGGGGAAGGGATCCAGCGCCTTATGCAGGAACACAAGTAAGTGTCCTTACTGTTTCGGAGTAGTTGCTGTGTTAGTCTGTTGCTGCAAAAAGAAAAGGGGGACTTGTGGCACCTTAGAGACTAACCAATCTATTTGAGCATAAGCTTTCGTGAGCTCACGAAAGCTTATGCTCAAATAGATTGGTTAGTCTCTAAAGGTGCCACAAGTCCTCCTTTTCTTTTTGTCCTTACTGTGTTGTTAAAGGAAAAGTTGTAAGAACGTACAGGCTGCATTTCAGTTATTCCATAATCCAAACCTTTTTCTTCTCAGGTTAAGAGTAGCTCGTTTAGACAACATCTTTCTGACTAGAATGAACTGGGCGAATGTTGGTGGTTTGTCGGGTAAGTGGGACTGGAGGTGCACACTTTGTAGCTTGTTTAGGCTGAGTTTATTGCATACACTAGGGGCTCCTTGCCTCCCTCCGTATCCCTACAAGAAGCTCCCTGTGTGCCTCCCTCACAGCTCCCTCAATTTCAGGGGCTCCCTGCAGCTTCCACAGTCTCCCTCTGGCAGGAGTTCTGGGAGTGCCCCCACCCCCTATGCAAGGGGCTCTGTGTGTGCCTCCATTTTCCCTTCCCACCATAGGAAGGCCTCTGCATGCACCCTATCCCCCATAACGGGTTCTTCCAATATACTTCCCACCACAGGTTGTGTTCCCACAATTCTCCCCTAGGACAGCAGCTCTGTGTGCATCCCCATGGCAGGGGCTCTATATGCACCCCATTTTCCTCTTTCCCCTGTTGCAGCGTCCCCAGTCACACACCCCCCATGGGATTCTATGTGCCTCCCATTTTTCCCTTCACCCATTTCAAGATCCCCTCTTCTTACCCTATGCCAGGAGTTCAGTCTGTCCTTCACTCCTTATCGGTGCCCCTTCTCCCCGTAACACATTAATTAAGCTCCACTGGGTGGGTAGGAAGAGATGAAACAAAATATTATTCAGCTAGAAAGCTTTAATGGGTGTCATCAGCTGTGACTCTGCTAAAGAGCTCAGAGGGCTTCATGTGTTCCCTGTTTTCCCACTTGTGGTTTTCTGGTCCTCCTCTCCTCTTCTCTCTTCCCTCCCCCCACCCCCCTGGGGGAAAAAAGAGAGAAAATAGGGTCTTGCCCACTCACTGGTGCCTAGAATATTCGTGGAAGTTTGTGATTTGATCAGATGTGGTGTTTAACATTTAATGTGTTACAGACAGAGAAATGCTTTTAAGTTGTGCATATGGACTCTCAAGTTGGCCAATTAATACCTTGGTGGAGTCTGTTATTAAACCGAGTTGCTGCCAGCCTTGTGCTGTACATGTTGGTTTGTCATCTAGCACCCAACTGCAATATAGATGAATCTGTTTTTGTAATGTAGCTTTCGTGCTTGGACCGGACCAACTAATGTGGTAAATGGTTCTCAAAATGTCACGTCTGTCTAAACTTCCGTACTTTAGTTGCTAGCAATACCAAAGATTCTCCTAACAAGAAAAGGTGGGGGAAATTCTTTCTATTGTCAGTTTACTTTATGTGCTAGCATTTGGTATATAGCCAGGTTCTGTTTCCTTTTAGTAGTCCATTTTCCCCTTTGTTGGTAGGGTTTCTTTGCAGCAAGGGAGAGTGGAAAGGTGTTTCAGAAGTAAATGATGATAAACTTCCCAAAATTGGGACTCTGAAGTACTTTCAACTACAGCTCATTCTTTTAGTGTAATTTCCATCACTGTAGCACCTGTGTCTCTTCCCAACACTTATGGATTTATCCTCCCAACATCCCTGTGAGGTGGTCCTTGTTTTACAGATAGGGATCTGGGTGCCAAGAGAAGTGACTTGCTCAAGGTCACACAAGGCAGAGCTAAGGACTCGACCCAGATCTCCTGAGTCTCAGACCAGGACCTTAATCACAGGGTATGACATTTCCTTGTGAAAAAGGGTGGAAATTGGACAGATAGTGGAAAGTGAATTACAATCTTTGCTTTGGTGGCACTTTCATGGGTTCATGATGAAGGCTGTTTCCAAAGCTGCACTCTCCCTGCTCTCTCTTCCAGGAATGATTCTCACCTTAAAGGAAATGGGGCTCCCAAAGTGTGTTCTCTCAGGGCCACCACAGCTGGTGAGTAGCTGTTTTTTTTGGGTTTTTGTTTTTGCTTTTTGGAAAGTGGGGACCCTGTAAGAGTCAGACTTTAACCACCTGTGAGCGAAGAGCTATGGCTGGGTGCTGAGTGACCTTGTAAAATGCTGTGAGGTGCTGCTCTAACTGAAGAAGTGCCACCTGTAATTGTTTGGTTCTGCTTTTGGGGCTGGCTTCACAGTGTGTACAGCTTGCTTGTGAGTTGTGCCAGTTTAAAACAGCTCTAGGCAGCAGCAAACTGCCACCACTTGGAACACTCTTGTCTGCTAATGGCTCACTAGTAGATGGAACAGCCCTTCTCCACCTGTCTCCCTAAACAAAATGATGGGGCAGTTCTTCTGGATGTGCCTTTTTAAAGCAGCAATTAGGGGTCTCTGCAAGTGTCTGAACAAGTTTCTAAATCTGCTGTGCTGGTAGGAGGCACTGGTTACATAGATCAAATGCTGGTCTCAGTTTCTGGGCTGTTGGTTCCTCTTTTCAGCACTGAATTTCAAAACTGAATTTTGACTTTCATATTTGTTTTCCTAACCCCTGTCCCAGAAAGTGCTTGCTAGGCAGGAGAACTCTCTAGAGATCTCTGGCCAGCTGGCTCATTCTGAAGCTGTTAGGACCATATGTCAGTTCCAGGGAGACACTGTCCTAAACTAACGTACAAAACCGAATGTACTTCTGTGGCAGACTACTATGGTAAGAAGAAATGTAGTGTCCATTTTTTCTCCTTGTAGTAGAAAGAGAGCCTGAAGCCTGGGGCATGGTATCAGGCCTAAACTAGTGTCGACTCTGTTACGAAGCAGGTGCCTGCTTTGCAGATTCACTGTCTGGTACATAAACTTGGCAAGAACATGGCTGATTTTGCAAAAACACAAAACACTCCTAAGAAGTGCAAAGAACTGGGTACTTGCATAAACACAGTCTGGAAGGATGGTGCCAGAACACCCCAATACCAAGTTATGGTATAAACAAGTTCCCTGAAGATGATACAGGGACATACTGAGCCTTCTTAAAGATAAAGTCCGGGTGATGAACGGAGATATTTTGGTGACACTAACAGGTACAAGGTGGGATTCGTTTTTTTTTCCTGCTAGCTGGGGGTTGCGCTTATGACTTCTCTGCACCTGAGAGAGAGTCTTTGCTTGAAAATGTTACCTAATCTGAGTAATAAGCAGGCAATGACCTCTCTGTAGGTAATGATTTTTCACCTTGTCTTTTTTTTCCTACTCTTCCCCCCCCCCCCCTTCCCCTCCCCCAGCGAAACTACCTGGAAGCTATCAAAATGTTTTCTGGCCCGCTGAAAGGAATAGACCTGGGTATGTACAGTGGTCATCTGTGTGCACTTACTGTCTGCAATGTCTACACCTTATTGATGCATATATCTGTCTGAACAGCAGCCTCAGGGTGTTAAAGGAACTCTCAAGGACGACGAGGCCATTGCAGAGAAGCTAAATTAATTCACTTAATCAGTCTTCACTGCAGAGGATATGGGGGAGATGCTCACATCACAGCTGTCCTTTTCGGGGTACACATTGATCGTAGTATCGTAGGACTGGAAGGGACCTCAAGAGGTCATCTAGTCCAGTCCCCTGCACTCATGGCAGGACTAAGTATTAACTAGGTCATCCCTGACATGTGTTTGTCTAACCTGCTCTTAAAAATCTCCAATGATGGAGATTCCACAACCTCCCTGGGCAATTTATTCCAGTGTTTCACCACCCTGAGAGTTAGGAAGCTTTTCCTAATGTCCAACCGAAACCACCCTTGCTGTAATTTAAGCCCATTGCTTCTTAAATGCCTCAGTAGAAGGGGTTTTAGAACACATTTATTACTGTTTAATTGATCGGTCCCCAGGAGCAGAAGGAACTCAAATGTGAAATTGCAGAATTACTATTTAGTAGATAACCTATCACTGAAACAAGCCTCTGTACCTGATGACTGGAAGGTAGCAAATGTAATGCTGACTCCAGAGGCGATCCTGGCAATTACAGCTTGGTAAGCCTAACTTCAGTATTGGGCAAATTGACAAACTATAGTACAGAACAGAATGATCACAGATAAATAAACATGTTTTGATGGGGAAAAGTCAACATGGGTTTTGTAAAGGGAAATCATGCCTTACCAATCTACTAGAATTCTTTGAGGGGGTCAACAAGCATATGACCCAGAGTGGTCCCCGCACTACAGAAAGCCTTTGACATTGTCCCTCTCTAATGGCTCTTAAGGAAAACAAGCAGACATGGGATAAGAGGGAGGGTCCTCTCGTGGATCAGTAACTTCTTAAAAGATCAGAAACAAAGGGTAGGAATAAATGGTCAGTTTTCACAATGAAGCGAGGTCCCCCAAGGTCTGTACTGGGACTGTTCTGTTCACTGTCCACTCCCTTTTCCAGATTTATGATTATGTTGAAGTGGCAAGGTTTGCAGATGATACAAAAATATTCAAGGTAGTTAAGTCCTAAGATGACTGTGGAGAGTTACAGGGTGATCTCACTAAATGGGGTGGCTGGGCAACAAAAGGGCAGGTGAAATTCAGGGTTGATAAGTGCAAAGTAATGAACATTGGAAAAAATAATCCTAACTACACCTATACAACTATGGGTTTTAAATTATCTGTGACCACTCGAGAGATCTTGGAGTCACTGTGGATAGTTCTCTGAAAATGTTAGCTCAATGCCCAGCAGCAGTCAAAAAGGCTAACTGTTAGGAACTATTAGGAAAAGGATAGAAAATAAAACAGAAAATATCATAAAGCCACTATATAAATCCATGGTGCACCCACACCTTGAATACTGTGTCTAGTTCTGTTGCTCCATCTCAGAAGTATATAGTGCAACTGGAAAAGGTTCTGAAAAGGGTAACAAAGATGATCCCTTGATGTATGATACAGCTTCCCTAGGAGGAGAGACTAAAAAGATTAGGGCTGTTGTGTTTACAAAAGAGACAATTAAGGAGGGATACGATAGCGGTCTACATAATCGTGGATGGTATGGGAAAAGTGAACAGAGAAGTGTTTATCCTCTCCCACAGTACAAAATACAGGGGTCACCCAATCACGTTAATAGGCAGCAGATTTAATACAAAGAAGAGGAAGTATTTTTTTCATACAACACATAATTAACCTTTGGAACTCATTGCTGGGGGTGTGGTGACAGCCAAAAATATAGCTAGGTTAAAAAAACAAATATCCAAAATGGTCAGGGATACAACCTCATGTTTGGTGCAACCCTACACTGGCTACGAGAAGACTGGGTGCATCACTCAACTGTAGCGCTGGGACTTGCCACTGTTATAGACATGATACAGGGCTAGATGGACCATTCGTCTGACCCAGTATGGCCGTTCCTGTGTTCTTCCGAGGCAAAGCTCCAAGCTGTAGCCACTGCAGCCTCTGAGAAATGAAAAGAGAATGAGTTCTTCTAATTGTTTGTTTTGGAGTCCATCTGGGATCTGGTTTCCAAGCTGGTTTAAGGACATTTCCATTTTGTCACCTGGTTTCACCACATATCAGAAAACACAGGAGTCACTGTAATGTTTGGTTGTCTTGACACCTTGTTTTCCAGGATCAGGAACACATTGGTAATGTCTTGATGATAACTCAGTTTTAAAAGAAAGTGACAAGCTGCCTGGCTCAGGGATTGAGAATTGGCAACAGATCCTATCCCATCCAAGTCACTGGCTCAAACCCAGCATGCTGTTTGGTGACCTGTGTGAAATGAGTGGTTTCCAGTCCAATTCCTGGTAGAGAGCTCTCTATGTATCTCAAACATTATCACAGCTCTCATTTTTGGGCATGTTTGGAAATGGAAGGCCAAGGGTTGACTGGGCCTAAGGAGTAATCTCTGCCTTATTCTTGATACGGGGTAGCTCTTCCAGGGGAGGGGAGATAAGAATACAACACATCAGCTGATGGTCCAACTAGTGTGCTATCTTGTTTATGACAAAGGCCAATGCCAGACTCTTCAGAAGAAGGTGCACAAAACCACCGGGACAATTAGTGAAAAACTAACTTGCATGTAGGGGAAGCCAATGGCTGGCTTATGCCCTTATCGTTCCCCTCTATTCGACATTGGTGAGCTCTCATCTGGAGTACTGTGTCCAGTTTTGGGCCCCACGCTACAAGAAGGATGTGGAAAAATTGGAAAGAGTCCAGCGGAGGGCAACAAAAATGATTAGGGGCCTGGAACACACAACTTATGAGGAGAGGCTGAGGGAACTGGGATTGTTTAGTCTGCGGAAGAGAAGAATGAGGGGGGATTTGATAGCTGCTTTCAGCTACCTGAAAGGGGGTTCCAAAGAGGATGGCTCTAGACTGTTCTCAGTGGTAGCAGATGACAGAACAAGTAGTAATGGTCTCAAGTTGCAGTGGGCGAGGTTTAGGTTGGATATTGGAAAAACTTTTTCACTAGGAGGGTGGTGAAACACTGGAATGCGTTACCTAGGGAGGTGGTAGAATCTCCTTCCTTTGAGGGTTTTAAGGTCAGGGTTGACAAAGCCCTGGCTGGGATTGGCCCTCCTTTGAGCAGAGGGTTGGACTAGATGACCTCCTGAGGTCCCTTCCAACCCTGATATTCTATGATTTAAATCCCTTCAGTTGTATTAATTTCCAGGACCAACCTCATCACCTTTTAAAAACAATAAGTGATAGCATTTGTCCCCCTCCCATCTTCTAATGCAGCAATCAATTTGATGAGCGATCGCATGGCTAGCTTAGCATGTACGTGGCCGAGGTCCTGTGCATGTGCTGCTGGGATTTCTCCATTCTTGTGAGCAGGAAGTGTTTTTTTTTTTTAAAAGGAGCATCATTTCTGAGCTATAACATACTGAGCAGGTTTCTTGCACTTCCCTGCCCCGGGGGGGATGTAATGCAGATTTCCACTATTGCTTTGGATACAGACTTGTGACAGATCTCCACTCCTGATCCCATTGCTGTTAATTCATTACATGTGTTACAAACTCTGATACAACTTCCTAATGTACTATTCAAGGTAAATAAGATGTCATCTGATTATAATAAATCTTTTTGGTGCTGCAGTGCAGCATTTGCCATCTATTGACATCATACTGAAAACAGTTTGCAATTATGTGAGTGCTTGTTTTATTCTTCAGAGTTTAAGTAGCGATTCATAAATATATAATACCTCTGCTATCTACAGAGCCAGACTTAGGGCTGTCGCTGCTTTAAGCACCATCTTGGGATTGTATAAAGGCAGAATGGAAACTTTTGTTTTTTAAAAAAACAAACAAACCTGAGGCCACAGAAACCCTGGTCTGTTCAGGGATGTGCAGTGATGAATTGTTTTAATCTCTGCCACTTAGAGCAGTTGCGAGTATAATTGCTTTCTCTTGAAATCATGTATATTTGTCCTTGCAGTAGTGGAGAGTTTCAGCAGCTGGCCTGAGGAAACTGCCTGATTAGCTTCTGTGAGATGCATGCTCCTGAATGTATGTTAAAACATGTCTCTAATTTCCAGGGTGCTTTGTCAACGTTCCTGGAGTCTGGGACATCTGTTTGTAGTAACTGGTTCATAGCCACTCTGATGTGTAATGTTTTAACTATCTTGTTGCTAGCTGTGAGGCCCCATACAGAGCCCGAGTATAAGGATGAGACGATGACAGTCTATCAAGTACCTCTTGTGGGTGAGTACGGACGTCTGACTGGAATAGTAGGAAGCAAAGAGTATCTGGAGCTGCAGCTGGAGAGGGAGGAGCAGGGTTACTTGTTGCAGTAAGGACTTCCTTGAACTGGTTTTGGTATCTGGTTACTGTTCGTAAACCTGAGACGTAATAACTACAGGGTTGTGTTAGGTTACTTCTCCTTTGGTGAGAATGTAGCTTTCAAAGAAACCTGAGCCGGTGCCAGACCTTAGGATAAAAGGGTGCTGCCTCCTCTAAGAACTCTGGTATTTTCCTTCAGATGATAGTCCATGGAAGAGAAATGGGAAGTTACTGTGATTCATACTTAACGGGCTTTCCATGTTAGGTATGCTCGTACGAGCAGCTGTACTGAGAGCACATGCTTGAGTTTGATAAGGTTTTGTTGCTTTTGGAGAATCTGCTGAGGAAGGCTCTTGAAATGAGTGAAGTGCAATATGCAGAAACAAGGAAGCAGGGGCTCTCTTGTCCCTTTTTAAACTGCTCAGGGGATTTTGAAGAAACTTTCTGAGTAAGGCTCCATTTGTGTTTTCTCACTCCTGCCTCCTGAGCAAGCCTGTTTTTTTTTCCCTTGGGTTTGGAACAGGAAGGCATTTAGCCAGTGAGCACAGGCTGCATCAGAGTCCTGAAAGGTCAGTCCAAGGTGGAGTCAGCCCCAAATGTGCCCCAGAGCCTGGATCTCCCGCTGCTGAGCAGCAGTGTCCGAAGGGCGTCGAGAATAGAGAAGCCCTGAAGAAAACAGGTGCAGGAACTTTGTATTTTCTTGTACTTCAACTTGTAATTGGAACAAAAACTCTGAAATGTTGGTGTAATTTCTCTCCTACACAAATATTCTTGGTGCAGATCAGAAAGTGCTGGTCCTCTCTGCTGAAATATTGCTTGGGGGTAATTTGAGCAGATGGAGAACATGAGGCAAAACAAGATCCAGTGGTTGGATGCCGAAGCTAGACGAATTCAAACTAGAAATGAGATGCAGATTTTTTTTTTTAACACTGATGGCAATTAATTATTGGAACAACTTACCTTGGTACCAGGTGGATTCTCTGTCCCCCCTCAAGTTGTGAAATCAAGACTGGGCGTCTTTCAGATGTTTTTGGTTTGAGGGAGGAATCCTTGGGTTGGAATTCTTTGGGCTGTACTATACAACAGGTTAGACTTAATGATCATAATGGTCACTTATGCCTAAGACTTTGTATCTATCACAGAGGTCACGGAAGTCATGGATTCTATAACTTTCTGTGACCTCCATGGTTTCTGCAGTGGCCAGTGTGGTGCTTAAGCAGTCCCGCAATCCAGCCACTGCTCGGGCAGCTCCGGGCAGCTAAGATTTAGTCAGGTATTTATAGTATAGGTCATGGGCCATGATTTTTAGCTTATTACCCATGACTTGTCCATGAGTTCTACTAAAAATACTCATGACTAAATCCTAGCCTGCTTTTATGGCCCTTGTGGATGAACTCACTGGAAGGGATGGGACACTGTAAGAAGTTGGCACCTTTTGTGTAAGGAAAAAGATGCTGAAACTACATCATCCTGTGTAACTTTCCCTTCTTTTTTCTTTAAAGATGGCAACAGGAGAGTTGGCAGCAGAGACCCAACCCTGTTGGTGGCTTTCATCTGCAAAGTAAGAAATGTCATATGGAATAGGAGTTCCTACTTTTTTTTTAATCTAGACCAGTTTAATTACAAATACCACCACCTAGCAGGGTAGGGTTTTTTTGGATAGTTATTCTATGCCAACCTTTGTATCCAGTAACACTGCACTCAAATCTAGTGATTGAGAATCGGAGGGGTTGGAATGCCATCTGGTGCTTCACACTTAGAAGTGACCCACAAAAGGAGAAGCTTTTTTTAATTTGCTGCTTCATCAAGGCTAGAAAGATTTTTATTTCTGCTTGTCTGTTACCCTACAAATTCAGGTCTTGTTGACCCTGCTCTTCCTAGAAGACTCTATGGGTGACTGGAGAACTAGCGAGGTTGAGACTGGACACATAATGGCAGTGAAAGCTCATTTTGAGTAGGAAGACTTTTAGTTGCTGTTTAAAATACAAAAATAAAGAGCTACCCAAAGTAACACTTCTGTAAGTCAGCTGCTGAACACTCAAAAGAAAAACTTACTCTCTACCTCTATGGGTTGGAGCTCCTAGAGCCATACCTCTGGGCAGATCAGCCACAGAAGCAGGACAGAGAGGACTTGATGTGCCTGAGACTTAAAATAAATAAATAAATAAAATAAATTCCTGAGGAAAAATCTCTCCCACAGGCCCTCTTCATGGCTCATTTCAGAGCCAGTAAGGGCATGAACCCCATCTTTGCCCCTCCCCTTTTTCCATCCATGTTTAAACATTGTAAAGAGTTGGTAACTCTTTCCATGGGACCTTTGAGAAACACTTCTTTCTTTTAAATTATTTTCAGCTTCACCCGAAGAAGGGAAACTTCTTGGTGGCCAAAGCGAAGGAGCTGGGCCTGCCAGTGTAAGTATGAGAGCCCTGCCTGTGTGCTTGGGTGGTGGGAGGATCCTGGTCATATGGAAGCTGTCAATCTAATACTGTCTTTGTGTTCTCATCCTTAGTGGGACAGCAGCCATTGGCCCCATCATTGCGGCAGTCAAAGATGGAAAGAGTGTCACGTTTGAAGGCAGAGAGGTATGACGCTCTAGGCTATCCCAGCTGTGTTGCAGGCTGGGTTTGTAACCAGTGTTCCTTATGGGACCATCTCTCCCAGAATGTTGTTGTAACTAAATGCCACTCATACACCAACCACAATCATCCCCTTTTTTGGGTCAGAACGGACTGCAGCTGTAACCAGTCCAGTCCTCTCAGCTCTCCTGTTTCATGGTAGGATTGGTTGAACTGTCCCTGAACCATACCTCTTAGTGGCAAGTACAAGCCTTGCATGTTTGTTCAGATTCAATAGCCTTCCTTGGCAGCTTGTTTCAGTTTCAAGCTTTCCCAGGCTCATTCCCTTGGTAACAGGTTGTCCCAGGGTCCCTGTCACTGCAGATGGGACAGTATCTGCCATCACGGGAGAAGGGTTGGCGATACACACGGAAATGACACGTATCCCATGCCAACAGTGTGGTGGTTTGTTCCTCTGCCTCAGTGGCTGGTCCAGTTATAGCAATTTGAGTCTGCCACAGCCTGTGAGCTAATGAAGCTGGTCCATTAGTTCAGGCAGTAGAGGTGCTTACGCTTTCAAACCCAGAGCGTGCCTACATCTGACCCACTATAAACAGGGGTCCCCCTCACTGATTACACTTGTTCATCATCCTGTGACACCCCCCCCTCACAGTGGTTAAAAGGCTCTGTTTGGGGATAGATTAAGATGGATAATCTCCAAGGCCAGTGGCTGGTGAGGGGGAGAGACCCTAACTGTGGGTGTTTCTGGTGGATCCATAAACAAAATCACTCCCCCCCCCCCCCCCGGGAGATATGAGTGAGCAACAACTGGCCCTGCTTCCCAAAGTAGCTCACAGGGGCACGCCCCAGTGCACAGAGGGAAAGCAGCTGAATTTCCCTCAGGTGCAGCTGAGACGCTTCTTGCTTTGTTGAGGCCATTGTGAGGGATCCATTGGGCAATGTGACCCAGCAAAATCAATGAGAGAGGAGGAGAGAAAATGGTTCCAGTGCCAGAACGGTAACTGGAGCATGAGTCCTTGGACTCGCTGACCATTGAGCAAAGCACCCTGGCGCCCAGCTGATGAGCGAGCAAGTTCTGTGAGGTCCCCAGCTGGCTGTGGAAGAGGAATGAAATGAGGCTGGTGACTGAGCGGCATGTGCTGTTGGTTATGTTGCCAAAAGGGAGCTGCATACCCAGGCATGTTCAGACAGCATGTACCATAGACTGACCAGGGTGTAACCCTTGTGTGCCTCGTTGCAGATCCTGCCCGAAGAGGTCTGTACTCCTCCTGATCCAGGCCCTGTGTTCATTGTAGTGGAATGTCCTCATGAAGGCTTTGTGGATGCAGTCTGTGAAAATGACATGTTCCGCAGGTATAGTGGAGGTGGAGGGAGGGAAGGGTGTTCCCTGGAATACAGGGTTGGTGGGGGAGGCGTATCAGGCTTGAGCACTTTTTTATGAAACTGAAAATCTCCTGTTAGCCTGGTTACAAATGGAATCTGACATGCTTCGTGGGCTAATGCCAGTGACAGCAAAGTCACCTTGAATAGCCTGGTTAGGAAACCTGCAGATAGCGCACCGAGATATAGAGCCACCAACAAAGATCAGCAGAGGCACAGAAGTTGAAGTATGAGAGGCAGGGCTGTGACAGGGTGTTTTCTGTGCAGGGTGCTTGACTTTAGAACTCATTTCCCCAGGGCCTGGAAGTTATCTTCAGGGCACCTTGCAAGGCCCATCTTACTTGGGAGAGGGGCTTTCTGGGGGTGGGAGGGGAAAGTATTTCTCTCTGGTGCACTTAGTAAGTTACTATATTTCATGAGGTTCCCGCTATCTTAGTTTTAAATAGTCACGTGACTGGACTGCATGATACGCACCTTTTAGTGAGTTCTTGCATCTAAGTAGCTGAGATTTCAAAGGTCTTTGCATACAGTGAGCTTACCTACTGTTCAGTCTGGATCTCACCCCAGAATGTGGGAAATTATCTCTTACCCTGTAACTCTTCGGTGCCTTCATGCTTCGCTGCTGTAGATGTCTGTCTGGGATGCCCACAGTCAGCAACAAGCATGCACTTGCTCTACGTACTGAGCAGTCCTGGCCCAACACTTTGGATCCAGGAGTGTACTTGAAGCATCAGACTTCTATTGGTCTCCACCAGCCTTGATTAAAAACTGGTAAGGTGACTCCACACTCTCCTCAGCCCCGCATTTCCCCAAAAACCTGTTCTGAAATGTCCAGCCCTGTCCTGGAACAATAAGAGGGAGGTTAAGGTTTGTTGCTCCTTTAAAGAGTCTGTATCCAGCAGTTTGTTGCTGTAACTGGAGTCCCCAAACTGTTCAGTTCAAACACAGTACTGGATTGGTTTAAATTAAGTTTATTGAATTCCAGAGAGACTTGAACTGAGCATAAGGATTAAAGTTCGAAATGGTTACGAGAGAGACAGACACTTTCTGGGCACTAAAATCTAACAGACTAGACTGGGTTCAAGGTAAAATCCCCTCAGCAAGTTTCTGTCAGTATCTCTGACCAAGCTCCTTTTGGATTTATCCTCCAAAGTCAAAGGGTTGGTACCTTTGTCTTAGGTGAAAGACTGATAACTTGGGGTTCTGTACCCTTCTCTTCTGTAGTCCATTGAATCTTTGAAATGGATTCTTTTGAAGAATACCTCAAGATAAGTTGGTTTCCAGCTGAGGGGTAGGCAACATGGAATCTTTCCCTGCTGGGGTTATCTGCCAAAATGCAAATTACTTAGTTTCTGCATCCTCCCCACAGTGCAACTGACTGAACACTGGCTGTTAATGTCACACCCACTTGGCAGAGATAGAATTGTAGAGCTGGAAGGGACCTCAAGAGGTCATCTAGTCTAGGCCCCTGCACTCATGGCAGGACTAAGTATTATCTAGACCAGCGGTTCTCAACTGGAGGTCTGCGGCCCCTTGGGGTTCTGCAAGCCCTTTCAGGGGACTTGGAGCCCTGTAGCTGAAACATTGTTCCCCGAGCCCCAGCGCTGAAGCTGAGAGCGGTGTGAGGGGCTGTTGTGTCCCATCTCTTCTTCTTCTCTCCCCCCCGCCCCCCAAGCCAGGAGCGAAGCGCAGGGCTGAAGCTGGAAAACCTCCCAAGCCAGGGGGAGGAAGGAGCTGAAGCAGGAGCCCCCAGCCTGTACACAGGCCCTAGGTACCCCCTCCCTGCACCCTGAGTGGTTTTCAAACTTTTTGAACTGGATCCCCGCTTTGTTTTATTTTATGGTTGTGTCCCCACCATAGCCCAGCCAGGCTGGGGGGCCTGAGTGAGTTGTGGGGGTGGAGGTGGTGCTTGCTGTGTGGAGCTGGCTCAAGCCCCGCCAGTCCTTGCACTGCCCTTCCCCCCGCTCCCCCCCAATAGAAGTAAAACTATTCCTATCCCCAAGGTCTCCCCCCCCCCCCGGCCCTGAGCCCCGAGTTCCCTGCCTTCCCTGAGCCCTGGCATTTTAATAGCATGTTGAGGGGGGCATCAGCAAGAAAAAGGTGGAGAACACCTGCTCTGGATCATCCCTGATAGGTTTTTATCTAACCTGCTGTTGAAAATCTCAAATGATGCAGATTCCACAACCTCAATAGGCAATTTATTCCAGTGCTTGACCACCCTGAAAGGAAGTTTTTTCCTAATGTTCAACCTAAACCACCCTTGCTGCAGTTTAAGCCCATTGCGGCTTCTATCTTCAGAGGCTAAGGAGAACCATTTTATTCCCTCTTCCTTTTCTGTACTTGAAAACTGTTACGGTCTTCTCTTTTCCAGACTAAAGATTGAGAAAAATTGGCTATCTTCCCTCACAGGTCATGTTTTTGAGACCTTTAATCATTTTTGTTGCTCTTCTCTGGATATTCTCCAGTTCACCTTTTCTGAAAGGTGGCGCCTAGAACTGGACACAATACTCCAGTTGAGGCCTAATCAGCATGGAGTAGGGCGGAAGAATTACCTCTAGTGTCTTGCTTACAACATTCCTGCTAATACATCCCAGAACATTTGCTTTTTTGCTTGTGATCCTCTGTGACCCCTGCAGATCCCTTTCTAGATTAGTCCTTCCTAGGCAGTAATTTCCCATTTTGTACGTGTGCAACTGATTGCTCCTTCCTAGGTGGAGTACTTTGCATTTGTCCTTATTGAATGTCTTTCTATTTACTTCAGACCATTTCTCCAGTTTGTCCAGATCATTTTGAATTTTAATCCTAGCCTACAAAGCACTTGCAACCGCTCCTGGTATTGTCCGCTATTTTTTTTTTTTTAAGTGTACTCTCTATGTAATTTTCTAAATCATTTAAGAACATAAGAATGGCCATTCTGGGTCAGACCAAAGGTCGGTCTAGCCCAGTATCCTGTCTTCAGGTGCTTCAGAGGGAATGAACAGAACAGGTAATCAAGTGATCCATCCCCTGTCACCCATTCCCAGCTTCTGGCAAACAGAGGCTGACAATGGCCCTGAACTGATCCCTGCAGGACCCCACTTGATATGCCCTTCCACCTGGACTGTGAACCACAGATAACTAATTGGAAAGCCATACCCAGAGTGTAGTTATGCACTCAGCTAATAGTAGCTCCACCTAGGTTGTATTTTCCTAACAGTTTATGACAAGGTCATGTGAGGCAGTATCAAAAACCTTACTAAAGTCAAGATATGCCACATCTACCGCTTACCCCCCACCAGCTACAAGGCTTGTTACCCTGTCAGAGAAAGCTATCTGGTTGGTTTGACACAGTTTGTTAAAAATCCATGGTGACTGTTACTTCATCACCTTATTATCTTCTAGGTTTCAGAGGAACAGCCGTGTTAGCTGTAGCTCACGAAAGCTCATGCTCAAATAAATTGGTTAGTCTCTAAGGTGCCACAAGTACTCCTTTTCTTTCTTCTAGGTGTTTGCAAATTGATTATTTGCTCCATTCTTTCCAGGTACCGAAGTTAGGCTGACTGGTCTGTAATTCCCTAGGTTGTCCTTACTTTTTTTTTTTTTTTTATAGATTGGCACTATATTTGCCCTTTTCCTATCCTGTGGAACCTCACCCATCTTCCATGACTTTTTTCAAAGATAATCGCTAATGGCTCAGATATCTGCTCAGTCAGCTCCTTGAGTATTCTAGGATATATTTCATCAGGACCTGGTAACTGGAAGACATCTAACTTGCCTGGGTCATTTTTAACTTGTTCTTTCCTTATCCTAAATGCCTCTTATCCTACCTCATTTTTACTGGCATTCACGGTGTTAGATGTCCAACTAGACTACCCCTTTTGGAAAACTGAGACATTTAGCACTTCCCTTGCAACATTTCTGTTGCCCTTCCCTCACTCACTGAGTAATGGGCCTACCCTGTCCTTGGTCTCCCTCTTGCTTGTGAGCAATTGTCCCCCTCGTATAGATGGAGGCAGTAGGATCAGAGGCCCAAGGCCACTGTGGATCTTGGCGAGTGTGGAGTAGAATCCAGAACTCCTTGACTCTCAGATCTGAGCTTTAACCTCTCTCTGCTGGGCTTCCTTCCTGGAGGAAATAGTCTCTGCTCTATGGAGTCCTTGATAGTAAATAGATTCTGGAGAGCAGCCTTGTCCTCTTAGGTGAGGAGGTGAGATCTCTGGGTAATAGGAGCCAAGCATTGTTGTCATCTTTGATCTTAAATGTCTATTGTAGGTACCAAGAAGGGAAGGCTGAGGGTCACGTGGCCTTGGTTATTCACATCACCCCAGAGTCAGTGCTTCGAGACAGCCGGTACAAACAGTGGCTGGAAAGGTACATTGCTTTTATTTAATTACGTTGACTTAAAATAACCTTGAAGGAAGCCTAACCCACAAACTCCGTGATCCCAGACTGGCTAATAACAGCCATGGGTCAGGGCATGTGTGGTCAGTTCAGAGAACAGTGGTTGGTTAGTTAATGGCATTGGGTGCCCAGCAGTGGGTTGGAGCTGAAGTAGTCTTGTATCTGAACACATCTTACTATTCCTTTTTCTTTCTCCAGGTTTGGACGCACAACTGAACACTTGATACTTAATGAAAATGCAAACACTGTGCACTATCTCCGCAGCCACAAGATCCAAACCCAGTTGAACCTCATTCACTCAGAAATCTTCCCACTGTTAACTAGCTACCAGAGTCGGGTAAGAGGCTGCGCCTGTCTGCAGGTGTCTGCAGAGGCAATCTCGTGCATGCTTACAGGTTGCTCCTTCTGTCTCCTCTCCAGGAAGAAGAGGCCACTTTTAGCGTGCCTGTTGTGCGGGGAGAGTGCCTCCTGAGATACCAGCTGAGACCGAAACCGCAGTGGCAGAGGTTGGTACCCTTGGTAATATATAAACTGAAGAGAGATCTGGCCTCCTGCCGCAGGCATCTGCATGGGAGCAGAAGTCATTTTAGAAGATCAGATGATGAGCTGAGACCAAGGAGCATTCAGCATCTAAATGGTGGTGAAGCAAAGGTGGCTTGAAGTCACCTTTGCACTCTGGTTCTGGGCCAGTCTGTGCAGGACCAGACCCCTGGAGAAACTTTCAACAGCTCATTGTGGGGTGGGTGTGTTTGGATGTGAAGGGGGGTTGCATTGTGGGGTCCCCCAAAGAAATCCAAGGCCCCATTTTCTGAATGCTACACAAGTCTCTACTAAGACTGTGTGCTCCAGAGCACTTAGACTCTATGTTTGACTGGACCTGTAGGTGTAATGTTCAAGTGGATGCCTAAATGTATGTCTTCTGTCCTAGGGATTTCATAGTTTTAAGGCAAGAAGGAATCCTTAGATCTAATCCAATGGTTCTCAGTGTTTCCAGACTACCGTACCTCTTCATGGGTCTGATTTTGTCTTGCATAGCCCATGGCTCATCTCACTTTAAAAACTACTTACTTACAAAATCGGACCCAAAAATACAAGTGTCAGAGCACACTTGCTGAAAAATTGCTTGCTCTATCATTTTTACCCTAGAACTATAAAATAAGCCAACTGGAATAGAAATATCTCACTTACATTTCAGTGTATAGAGCAGGATAAACAAGCCCATTGTCTGTATGAAATTTTAGTTTACTGACTTAGCTAGTGCTTTTTATGTAGCCTGTTGTAAAACTAGGCAAATACCTAGATGAGTTGATTGTACCCCCAGAAGACCTCTGCGTGTCCCGAGGGCACACATACCCTGGCTGAGAACCACTGATCTAGTCTGACCTGTATATCACAGGCCATTACATTACACTGTTACCCCTGTATCAAATCCCATGGCTTGGGTTAGACTAAAACATTTGTCCTCCAGATACTAAACGGTGGTGTGCCCCAGGCTGAGAACAGGAGAGGCCTGGGGGTACCAATGCCCAAGACCCCTAATCAGTTCCTTGCTGTTGCAGGGGAGACATACCCAGATGATTCCAGCAGGTGAAATGCCCCATGCTGCAGCAGGGAAAACAAAACATGCTATAGTACCTGCCAGTCTGGCAAGGTGTGGGGACAGAATTCCTTCCAAACCCCACATTATGACCCTGAGTGTGTGAGCAAGACCCAGCCAGCTGTGGAAGAAAGGTCTCTGTATCACTGGTCCTCCCTGTCCAGTGTCCTGTCTCCAACTGTTGGCTGATGGCGTCAGAGGAAGAAGGAAGTCCCAAATTCAGTTGGGAGGAAGGGGAATGGATTCTGTTTAAACATTTAGGCTTCACTCTACCTGCATGCGATAGCTGTCCTGAAACCTTGTCAGGATATTCCTATACATGCAAGAAGGTGGGCTCTGAAACTAGCATGGGTGAGTGAAGTTTCCGGCACAAGTGCTGTACCCTGCCCCTGAACAGTGCACTGGGTCCCAGCAAGTCCTGCACAATGTCGCCCTCAAATCCTGAGGTCATGCAATGATTCCCTCTTGCTGGAGTTAGTTGCCCATGCGCCTCCTGCCGTCTGCTGGCAGTCCTGGTGGATTGTAGTTTTAAAGCAGGCACCTCTGGGGACTGTTAAGGAAACTTTCAAAGTAGGCTAGTATCTAAGCAGTAATTTGACACTTTGCCCCATAAATTAAACTGTTTTCAGTTGCCCCCCTCCCAACCCAGCCACATCCTGATCTGTGGCCTGTGGATCCTTTCAGGGATGTGGTTGCTGTCTGCAATTCCAGTGAATTTGTGGCTGAAGCCCTGGAGCTCCCTGGCTTCCAGGACCGTGTGAAGGAGTGCAGAGAGAGCCTGCAGGCTGGGCCGGTCAAGTCAGGTGAGGAGAGTGTGCAGGGCCCTTTGATTGGAGTAGTAGATAAGTCTGGCTTGACTGGGGAGGTGGGTTGAATTGTTGGATAGAAACAAACTGGGGCTTGCGTTCTAAGGGGATGCTGTTCAGTGAAATTCTCCCATCACCCTGCAAGCTAATGAAGCAGCCCTAACAATACGCTGAGTTCAAGTGCCCAGCATAGCACAGGACGGGCTTGTTCCCACATGTTCTTTGCCACTCAACACGGCACAAGCCAGTTTGCATTCTTGGCTCTTGAGGGTGCTGGGTTTGGGGCTCCAGCACTGCACGGGGAGGGTTTAATCACCAACAAAAACCCAGCATTGCATTCTACTGCAGTGCTCTGCTCAACACTAGTTGCTTTGGGCTTTTAAAATTGCGATCCCAAATGAGCAGCGTTCTTCTAACATGCTGACCATATAGTGAAGTATGGGAGGAGCAGCATCTAATCCACAGCTGGCTCCCTCTGGAGCCCAAATCTGGTCATCTGGCTATGCACTGATGTCCCTGTGTGACACGGGCAGTGAATCAACATCTAAACCATGACTGCAGGAAAAGCCTGCATCACTGCCTGTCTGCTATCCTGCCAAGAGGGCCATGTCCCTTCTCATTGGATAGCCGTGTGTGTCAGTCACTACCAAGCCCAGTCCTGACTCATCTGCCTCCATTCTGGGTGGACATGGAGCAAGGTGTCCTGCTATCATTTCACAGAGGATTTTGTATCTTTTCCCCATCCCATTAGTATTGATGCTGTGGGGAGCTTGGAGGCTGGGGGTCAAAACCCAGTTGGATGAGCTGGCTAGCCTGAGGCAGGATCTGGAAATCTTGTGCTTCAATATTGAACTTCTAACCTGGCTGGGAGCTAAACATACTACAATGCAGCAGGCTCTTGCCAGCATTCATGCAAAGCATGTTTCATATTTTCTCTAGGTAAAACTGAGCATTACCCGGAAATAGTCTTCCTAGGAACAGGCTCTGCAATTCCAATGAAAATCCGGAATGTCAGCTCCACCCTGATAAATAGCAGGTAAATACTAGCTCTTTACCTTTCCCTTCCAGTACGTGTGGAATTGCAGGGCGGGTGTTGTGTGGGTGGCTATACCGATGTGCCAGCATACTGGATGTGTGCCTCACTTGGCGTTCATGGACCTATTAACCAGGCAGGCAATGAAGGGATTGGGAACGGGCCTGGGAGTGTTTGAACCTTGGTCACTAGTTCAAACGGTACTCCAAGGTTCTCATTGTAGAAGGGCAAAGTGCTTCCCACATGTGGTCTTGTGACCGCCTTTGCAGGGCGTGTTCAGACAGCCACTCTGCTTGGCATCAGGCGTCCCCATTCCTGTCAGCATCAGGTCAGAGAACAAGAGCTGAAGCTGCTGTGGAGACTGAACTTTCAGAGTTGGCCCCTCCACGTCCTTTCTACGGAGAGACAGCACTAGTGGCAGAAATGCTGGTTGCTGCCTTTCACCCCCAACTGCTGCCTTCCCAGATCCCACTCTGAGCTGGTGTGCTGGGCAGCGTTCATCTGTTGTCATCCATTCCGGTTACTGCCAGCAATACACCCGCTCTTTCCTCTTGCCAGCCCTACCCAGTCACTGCTCCTGGACTGTGGGGAGGGAACGTTTGGCCAGCTCTGTCGCCACTACGGGGACCAGGTGGACAAAATCCTGTGCAACACAGCAGCCGTGTTTTTGTCTCACATCCATGCCGATCATCACACAGTGAGTATCGCTGGGGGTGACTGAGTTAGAGAAGGTGAGTTCCCAGCTGGGTGTGGGTTGTATCCACTTCAGTGGTGACTCTTGTCACAGAAAGTTCTGCCGTATACTGTTCATTTTCTCCTGTGAGTGTTTCACTCCTGTTTTAGCTCTGTAACCATTCCAGTGTCTCCATCAAACATCCTGCCCTGCTCTGCTGCATGTGATTCTGTTGCTCCTGTTTTTAGATATTCCTGGAATTAATACTGGTTCTAGCCTCCCAGCTGTATCTCATAAGCTGTTCCCCACTGTGGACTCCCCAAACCTTGCTGAATTCTGCTCAGCTATTAATCCTGTCTCTTCCTAGCACTGGTCCCTGCAAGTCTGGGTTCAGGCATGTTTCTGGGGCTGGGTGAATAAATTGGATTTTTGCAGTAGCGGTTTCTGGGGGCTCTCGACCTCCCAGGGGTATAAATTCAGCACTCTTCACTGCTTGGAATGTGCTTTCACAAGAAGCTTCAGCAAACTAGCAGGCTCCCTGTTTCATGCTGGCTTGATCCAGGCAGGCTGCATTTCATGCCCGATAGCTTGACCTTTACAGAAGGGCTTCCCTTTCTTCAAGGGTTGTGGGGAAAAGGGGCAGCTACATCCTTGGCAGAATTGGGGTAAGGTCTAATATCAAGTACTTTAGTGGTTTGTCACTAGCTCTTCAGAACCAGTGGGCGTTAGATCAGAGTGTTCTTTGCTGCTCGCTAACACAGCTGTGGCACAGAACTCAGAAAGGAGGTTAGGGTTTTCTCCTTTCTGGCTGACATTGCCTCAGCTGCAGAGTTTTCTCCTTTTCTCCTCCCCCTCCCACCCCCCCAGTCTTTATAAGGGTTGTAGCTTTCAGACATGAGGTTTTAGGACACAGATTTATGAGGGATTGGGCTACAGGATTGCCTCCTCTCAGCTGCTCTGGGGGGGCAAAGGTCATCTGGGCAGAGGCAGCATTGGTGGGGAGGGCTAGGAGCAATGCTTCAATTTACACGTGACCTTCCTCTAGTTTGTCCCTCAAGCGGTGCCCCACACTTCACTGAGCTGGTGGAATGGCTGTGAAATCGGCTCTGTTAGCGCAGCCCTGCTTCCCTGATGTGGGTTTATTACACAGTAACTGGCTGACAATGGTTCTTCCATATTCTCTCTTCTAGGGTTTGTTGAACATTCTGCTGGAGAGACGGCGAGCGTTCGTAAGTACCATAGCTGTTTCACTGCCATTTAAACCTTAGGGCCAAGGTTACCCCTGCTGCCAGTGGATGTGGTTCCATTGATATCGACGGAGCAACACCTGCCTCTCCCTAGACTATGCCCTGCCTTGTGTAAATTTCTGAAGCACCCCCCGGTACTGACTCTTCCTTGCCTGTTCTGCTTTCAGGCATCCCTTGGTCAGCCACCAAGCCCGCTGCTGCTGATAGCGCCCACGCAGATCATGGCGTGGCTACACCAGTATCACAACAACTGCCAAGAGATTCTTGGTCATGTCAAGTGAGTGCCTCCCTGGCTAGTCGCAGGTAGTTGAATTAGTGGGAAATACTCTCGCTGTGTCCTTGTCGTTCATGGGCCAGGGCAAACCGCTGCCTTGGCCGTGCGGCATGCCGTACAGGCCCTGTCTGCTGTATTTCGATTGATCTCTGCAATTGACGAGCACTTAAATGCAGCTGGTCAGAGAACCTTAGCAGCAAAATGTCACCTCACTGCAAAAACTAACTAGCCAAAAGGGCTGATCTCCAATACCCCACTTCAGACACTGACTTTTTGCTCCTTCCTCCCCTGGAGCCTGAGCGCACAGGTGGGGTTTGCAGCCTGCACTGTTGGGGCTGGAGTATAGCTCCAAATCACAGGCCTTGTGGCAGGCTGTAGAGTACTTGGAGGTTCTGGTTTCTCCTTTGTCTTCCCTTGGGACTCCGTGTGTAGGGTCAGGTGATTGTATTCCAAGGGCACATGCCTGGAAGCCAGGCATTAGCCACTAATCACTGCAGCAGCTGGGGGCAGGAGAGCACTGACCTTGCCCCATAGGGTAACGTTTGTTCCCCAGCCCCTCATTGCCAGCTCTGTCACCAGCCCTGAGGACAGGAATCCCAAGGCCAAAGGGGGAGAGGTTCTTGCTGCTGGGTTAGGCAGCCCATCCCTGACACTTTGGGTACATTTAGGCTGCAGCTGGGGAGCATGCTCCCCTGACCACATGAAAACACAAACCAGCTCTGATCCAGCTAACTTGCTAAAAATAGCATTGTGGTCACAGTGGCTCAGGCTAGCCACCCATGTACATACCTAGGATCATGGACCAGATTGTGCTTGGGTGGCTCATCCTTACAGCCATGCTGCTATTTTTGGCACACTGGCTTGTTCAAAGCTAGAGCTTGTATGTCTACCCGAGATGGGGTGTTCAATTCCCAGCTGCAGTGTAGCCATTTCCTGTGTCAGAGCCTGAGTGGGCAGGCTGGCTTCTGACCCACGGCTCCAGACAAGTGAAGATTGCAGTTCCTTTAGGGATTCTGCTCTCCCCTACTTAGGGGTGTAAAAGGGAGGGATAGCTCAGTGGTTTGAGCATTGGCCTGCTAAACCCAGGGTTGTGAGTTCAATCCTTGAGGGGGCCATTTAGGGATCTGGGGCAAAAATTGGGGATTGGCCCTGCTTTGAGCAGGGGGTTGGACTAGATGACCTCCTGAGGTCCCTTCCAACCCTGATATTCTATGATTCTGTGACTATGAACAACCCAACCAGGACTCACCAGGGGTTGTCAGCATTAACAGTTGACTAGCCAATTCCTAGTCAGTATCTGCTGGTTAGCCCCCACCCTCTTCCTTGCCTCGATCCCACTTACCTAATCTCCTGTTGCCTTAATGGGCTAACCTGCTAGTTGTTACTGGTTCTGGATGATAGTCCCTTCCTTTTAGGTGTGTACTCTTGGGCTATAATCACCCAACTCTGCCCACTAAATCCTGAGGGAAGAGGTAGAAAGCAGCCCCCAAGGGCCTAGGGCAGGTTCACTGGGTACTTGAAGGACTGGTGACAGGTTATCTTGTAAAAATGGGGCCTCCGTTTTGAGAGAGGCAGAGGCAGGTTCTGGAGCATTGGCATAGTGTGCTCCCAGCAGTGAGCTGCCATGTCATGTATCTGCTCCCCAGGGGGTTTTTAGGTGTCCCACAGATACAGGCCATTGCTGTGTCTAATCTCAAGTTGACAAAGGCATGGCTGATGGTGGCACGTGTGATGGTCATCTGACAGTCATGTCATCTCATCTTTGTCAGGATCGAGCCTCAGCCACTGACTCTCATCTACGTGCCAAAATCGCCAGTCTCTCTTCTCTTCCACCCCCCTCCTCCACAGTGTGATACATACGGAGGGGGACCAATGGAACTCTGGGGCATTCCTCCTTGGAGGAAGAGCCGTTGCCCAAAATTACTCTGGGAACTCTGACAGGAAGGAAATAGATTTGCTTAAGAGCAGCCCCCTCTGCTGCTGCTAGTCAACACCTTGTGATGGGTGGTAACTAGCTAGGATGCGGGGGCCAAAGCATGGAGAATGGAACTAAATTCCACCAACAGCTCCAGTATCCAGTATTCGTCCAACAGCTCAGAGCACCACTGGCCAAAACCCAAGCTGAGAAAGCTGGGCATTGAGAGCTTTCCGTGTGAGCATGCACAGCAGAGTCTCGTCTAGATCCTTGCAATTCAAACTCTCACAGTAATGACGAAGCTTTTTTAGGATGTGAGGTCTGTAATCAGCCACCTGGCAGACCCAGCTTGGACTGGCCAGGCTGCCTACCTCCTGAAAAAGATCAGGACTCTGCAGGCAACAATCCAGTTTTTCTTTGGCTACTGCATAAGCACAAAGGAACTTGGTTGCACTCCAGCAGCTTTTGGCCTGGAACTTGCACTCCTCTTTGAGTTGTCATAGGTCATGTCCTTAGCGGGGTGATCCTTGAGGGGTAAGGTGTCCCAGTGGACACTGATTGTTGACTCTCCAATCATAAAGTCCTACCAACCATCAATGCAGGGGTTCTCTGAGGAAAATCCTGTTGCATTCCCCGGTGCCCATTAGAAAGTTCTGTTCCCAGCTGCCTCTGATGGCAGACCAAAGCCTCAGCCCACAGGAGGTAATGGTTGGCCCATGATATGGGCAAAACAACCAATTGTCAGACTTCTAATCCACCCTAAATGCACCACAATGAGCTGATATTGAGACAGCAGCTGGACACCTGTGGGTCTGTGCCAGCCAACTCGGGTCCGTAGGGCTCAGGCTGCTGAGCAGGTTCATTGCTGTGTAGACTTCCCAGGGCTCCGAGACCCTGCGAGGTGGGAGGGCCCCAGAGCTTGGGCTGCAGCCTGAGTCTGGAAGTCTATGCAGTACTGAGAGAGCCCCGCTGGCACAGGCCACCGCGGGTGTCTAGTTGCTGTGTAGGCAGATCCTAGTACAGTGGTTTTTCAAACACATACACTGACCCTCGTCGGGTACGTGAAAAAAATCCTGTAATGGCAGACACTGCCTTTTATTTAGTAAAACTTGGCAATCTAATCAATATTGAATCTCCCTTCAATCAAACTGTATTGGTGTAAGTTTCCTTTCTGCTGTGCAACTCCAAATCAGAGGTTTAAAAGCTTTGGGGTATGCCCCCCCCCAGGGAGGCTCAGAGGAGCATTTATGGGAGCAAGTAGTGATAGCAGGCAACTGTCTTCAAAGTTTTTGAGCTGAGTGGCTTCCCCCCCCCCGCCAGACGGGCTGAATGGCTCACCTCAGAGGGGTGAAGGTGACATTCCGTTCCCAAGCCCTGCCGCACGATGTTGCTGCTCCCACAAAATGTTTCTCCATGCACCCAGGGGGGCCGCCCCACAGTTTGAAAAACTCTAGAAGCTGTTGCTAATGGAAGGCAGAAATCTGGGAGGGGGGGCACATGACTCTGCATTCCCCCAATCTCCCCACACTGTTTCTGCCTATCTCAGATGGGGGTACACAGTAGACTACCTTATTTGGAAAGGGGTATGCAGCCCAAAAAGTTTGAAAATCACTGCCCTAGTAGAATTGGTTAGCAGGTCTGAGCTGCATTGTGTAATATGTCAGAACTACCCCTTCACCAGACCAGGCCAGTAAGGCCTCTCAAAAACTCCAGGAGCTCTACCCAGCCCTCAGCAGAGCTGCTGTGGGTTTAACCTCATGGATGTGTTCTCCAGTTACAGTAAACATAACTTCAGAAAATGATTCACAACACTGTGTGGAGACGGGTTGCTCTGTTCTACTGTGTGGGCTTTTCAGACTGCCAGCGTTGGCCCACCTCTGCTCTTGATGAGGTGTATGGCCAAACTCCCATTCGCTTCAGTAGAGGCAGTCAGGCCAATGCTGAGCACTTGGGAAAAGCTCCTGCTTGTTTGTAGGAGGCATGACTGCTGAGGCCTTATGTCAAAGGATCACTTTAGGTTTTGCAGTTGCATACCAGTAGCTAGACTTGATCTTTCAGCGGCCAGGCTCCCCCCTTGTTACACTGTGGGCCTGGACACTGTGTATTTGGAGTTACAGGGCCTTGTGACCCAACGGTCGGCGTGGGGGAAGCAGTCCAGCACCATATAGCTTTAGAAGTTGCTGAGATCTGCTCAGAATAGGCTCCTTCTAGGCCTGTGCTCTCTTTGGTGCTTATCCAGGGTGCTTTGCAGGCAGTTCCACTAACGCAACGGAGGATGCTCTGACTTTCCCCAGTGCATATTTCCATATGCTGTAGTTGGAAAAGGGTAGAGGTGGCTTGTCATTGTTGAATTGTACTAGTCATTTATGAGATGATGGGAAAACTTGCATGGCACTCCAGCAAGACCTTGAGCATAAAACAAATGGGTATGAAGCAACAGCGCAGGCAAGAGACTGTGAGAACAAGGGAGGAAGGATTCCAGGAAGGGAAATTAATTTGAAGATGGGAAGAGGGTATTTGGTGGATGAGTCTTCCCTGCTTATGGAGGCAGGGTGGGGGAGGAGAGCTGTGCGCAAGGGCATGGAAGGAAGGTGTTCTCCTGGGCAAGGCACCTGCCCTGGGACTCGGGGCAGGGTTTGGTGAGGATTAACAATCTGAAGTTGGAAAAATAAAACATGAACACCCCAGCACAGACCTAGTAGACATGTCCTGGGGAAGTCTCGCTGTACTACAATAGGTTGCAGTTTCCCAAATGGAACGTGCTGCTCTGCTGACATGAACAGTTTTCAGTGTAGCCTTGACTTCCTAAACATCTCCCTTTTTCCTCTGCAGTATGATTCCTGCCAAGTTTCTGGTGGAAGGGGCGCAAGTCATCGGACCTAAAGCCAAAGCTCTGATTAGCTCACTGCTGGAGAAGTATGACTTTGCGGAGGTAAGCTGGCTGGCGGCTGGGAGAAGGCAGCGAGAAGAGTGTAGGGGTAAACTGTGGTGGATAACGCTTGTGGTCCTGTTCAGTTCCAGACTTGTGAGGTGCGGCACTGTAAAAATGCCTTTGCTTGTTCGATGGAACACACATCTGGCTGGAAAATAGTCTATTCTGGTGACACGATGCCCTGTGAGGCCTTGGTCCAAATGGGTGAGTTGAAAACGCACTGTAATTGCTTTGCCAACCGCCGTTAGCCTGTTAGTGAGTGAAAGAGATGTCGGTAAACTCTCCCTAATCTGCTCTTGCAAGTGTTGGGGTGTGGCATCTCAAAATGCTGCAGGGAAGCGGTCTTGGGCTCCGAGTAGAGACTATGCTAATCTAAGAACAGAACAAGATCTGTATGTTGACCCATGTGCTATTAGTATTATGACTGACACTAGCTACGTCGGAAGAAGTGGGTATTCATCCACGAAAGCTTATGCTCCAGTACGTCCCTTAATCTATAAGGTGCCACAGGACTCTTAGTCTGGATCTGTAAAAGCGGCAAACACGGCTACCCCTCTGATACCTAGCTATGCTGGTCAGGGGGACAAGCATTGGGATGCATTCTTTATGCCTTTCTTTGTGGGTTCACTGCTGGAAATATTGGGGGTAGAGAAGCACACTTGTCCCCTAATAAACATAGTACACGTCTACTTGATAAATGCCCCCGTCCGACGTGGTATGTTCTACCAGAAGGATGGAATGAATATGTGGTCTTACACAGGGAAAGACACTACTTTGCTGATCCATGAAGCAACGTTAGAGGATGGCTTGGAAGAAGAGGCAGTAGAGAAGACGCACAGGTAGAGTATTTCTGGGAAACTGGTTCTCTCTCCCTAGGAGTGAGATACAGAACTGGGCTTGGCCCTCGGAGCTGGTGATGAAGGAGGTTTCTGCTTCCCAGGATGTCCTGGGTGCGCACACATCTCCAGGCTCTGGAGCATCCCAGTTAGAGAGTTCCACCTCTTATTGATGGTGAACTAACTGGTTCTGTAACCTGGATGCAAGGGGCATCCTCTCAGGATAGGGAGCTGTTACTGTACAGCTGGGTAGCTGGAGAAATGTGCTCTGCTAGAAGGGACCCTTAGCTGTTTACCCATTGGCCTTGGGGTGAGGACTTGGATCATTTGGCACCCTTCTTACTCTTCAATTCACTTTGGGACCCATCTGAGCTGTCTCTCTCAGGACTCTCAAGGTTTGTGCCTTGTGATTGCCAATTCAAAGGGGATGAGAAGGGGAGCACTGTGCCCTATGTGGATGCAGACAAGACCCAAGCACAGCGTCTTGGGGGGGTGGGGGTGGTTCTGGTACATGGGATGGGGGGGGCGGGGGAAGGAAGATGGGATCGACAAGCTGGCACCACCAGTGACAAGCATGCAACTAAACCCCATGCTCCCAGAATTCTTCTAAAAAATGAACACCCAGCTCACTGCAGCCTTGCTTGCCCCCTCCTCGTTGCTGGAGGGGCAAGTGTAACTCACTTGCTGTATGCCCCATCTGCTGATGAGCAAGCTGTCTTCATGCACTGGCTGATAAAACGAGCAATTCAAGTTCTCATGCACTTGAGCTCCAGCTGGCATGTTTTGCCTGTATTGGGTAAAGGCTAGGGGCATTAGCACTTGGTAACGCTGCCTCCCGGTCCCCTCATGGAGAGGGCTGTGCTGTCTGGCCTTTGTCCGGTCACCAGAGTTCTACTAAGAGAGTCTTGTTCCCTGCTCCCCTTGCAGCACGACATCCCAGGCGATTGGGGTTGGGATGAAGATGAATGCAGAATTCATCATGCTCAATCACTTCAGCCAGCGGTATGCCAAGATCCCGCTCTTCAGTGCAGATTTCTCGGACAAGGTTGGAATCGCATTTGATCACATGAGAGTAAGTTGGGAACTTGGAGCCAGGCTCTCAAGGGAGCTGGGCTGTGCTGAAAATCAGGCCGTTCGCAGATCTGTTGCTGAACCAAGGATAGTAGGATTTCAATGAGCTTCCCCGGCACAGTGGGTTCCACTGGCAGCACTTTCCTGGGTACAGGGATCTCCACTAGAGGTTGACTGTTTGCTTAGCAGCTGGAGGTGAAGTGTTCAGTTGCCACAATCAGTATGCTTGGGTAAACTTGACAGCTGGGGAGGTGTCCAGAGGGAGCTCTTCTGAAGAAGGCTAGTTTTGCAGCTATTGGCCTTTCATGGCATTGCTGCAAACGTAGGGGAGTTCATGTCTGCAGTGTTTGCTGGCTGCCAGCTTCGTGCCCAGGAGCCCGCCTTGCCTGGTTCCACTGGTGCAGAGGCCAAGAGGAGGAGTGTGAAAAGGGGGCTTTTCTGTGCCACTTGCACAGTAAGAACTGAAAAGCTGTTTGTCCAGAGGGAACCCTGTAGGGCACTGTTGGAGCAGCCGCTCCCAGGTGACACTGGAACCCTCCCTCTGTGTGAGCGAGGTGCATGCCTTGTCAGGAGTAAGAGACTGACTTGGATACACATCTAGGATCTGAATTCCCCTTGGCACTAACCTAATCCACTGCAGAATGGGGATTCGAGCCCTCCGGTCTCCAATAGCATAGCAAAGTGCCTCTAACATGGGCTTCTGAGAGAGCTGCACCCCTTCCTCCTGCCCACCCTTCCAGTACTTTCTGCTGCCACCACAGCACTTGCATAGTAATTACCACATCTAAATGGGTCAAGTTGTCTCCCAGAAAGATGTCTTTGTAAGCATTGGCCCTCTCTAAATCGGTGTTCTAGATATGCTCCTGTGTGCAATCGAGGGGCGTTGCCTGTCTGTAGGCCGCTGTGTCCTCTCCAAAGTGCCTCTGCGTGTCAAAGAATTATTGCTACCTTAGGTATAATCAGTGCACTGAGTGCCATCCTCCCCTTCCCCTCACCTCATTGCATTCTTTCTGGGTGTCTTTACATGGCAAAAAGCTACTAAACACAAACTTGTTGCTCCTTGCTTATTGAACTGAACAAATACTAGCTGAAGGGTTGGTGCCCTTTGACTCTGATATTGTATATTCCCTGCCTTGTGCACGGAAGAGATCTTTTTACATAATGCCTTCTCTGGGGATTCTGAGTTAAATAGAAAAGGAAACACCCCCTGCCCCTGTATTGCAATCTGGACCCCACTGGGCTGGGTGCTGGACAGACATAATGAGTGTCCTTGGTCTAAATAGCTTGCAGTGTAAATGGACAAGACAAAGGGTGGAAGGGGAAACAGAGGCACAGAGCAAAATGCTATTCCTCTGCTATGTCTTCTCCCTGTGAATGTCAATCTGTGACTGATCACCTTTCAGGTGTGTTTTGGGGACTTTGTAACAATCCCTAAACTAATCCAGCCCCTGAAGGCTCTGTTTGCTGATGAGATCGTGGAAATGGAGGAGCGGAAGGAGAAGCGGGAGCTGCGCCTTTTGAAAGAGGCCATTGTAGCTTCAGAGAAGCTGGCAGACAGCGAGAACAATGCGAGCAAGTCAACCCCAGCCTCAAAGAAACGGGAACATGCAGAGAACCATCAGGAAGGGCCGAGCAAGAAGCTTAAAACCGCGAACTGAGCTGAGTGGTATATGGCTTGTGAAGGAAAGTAGCTCTGACCATGCTGCGCACACCTTGTCTTGCTCCCTCCAAGCTTTGGGGAGTGTGGAGTTCTGCAGACCCCCCAAGTGAGGGCTTGGGGTGCTGGTGGTGATGGGCTGGCAATGCCTGCAACTGCTACATGGGTGGGATTGCCCATTGTACTGATGTTACTAAGCATATAATAAGCAGTGACAAGGTCTCTGGCCCATGTCCGCACATGCAGTTCATGTTTCTCAACAGTGCTACCAGCCCATCTGTCAGCTTCCAGCTGCCTTTCTTCCCTCTCAAGTGTTTTTATTTATTTTTGGTTTTAGACTGGAAGCTGTTGCATGTAACAGCAGTTGTGATGACAGGAAATCACTGAAGATGAGGTCCACAAAACACCCTTGGGGCCATGGAATCTCCCAGAGTATGTTGGGAAAGCCCCTGCTTACTCTTGTGGGAATGTAACAATGTAAATAAGGGTCTGAATCCAGAGGGTAAGATGAGGTAATTCCATAATAAAATGGGACCCGATTAACAGTTTATTTTGGAGCTTGAGCTCCACTGGAACAGAGGAATCTTGAGTAATTTTTCAGTGTTCATCTTTATTACTATGGCTTTCTCAGTTTGATTCTATAAATTATGCTTGCTAGCAGATCGTTGCAGATGTGATCTCTTCATAGTGCTGATCTGAACAAAACAAACTGGGAATAGCTGAGTATGACCCTGATCCCAAATTGCTGTCGTAGCCCTGCAGGAAAGACCAGATTCTCACATGTGCTTGAGCTATGGGTAGGGATTCATGCCCCCTCTAGCATTACTCTGTATCACTTGAGTGCAGGGAAAATAATCTTCCTCTGCCCACAATCAGCTCATTTTGTTAGTGTAAATAAGGAGCTGATCCCAAAGTTGGATGCTTCTTCTCTGCTGCCCCAGGGGGAAGAGACTGAAGTGCTAAAAAGGACAGCATCGCTTTTTTCAGTCAGAGGGCCACATGGCTGGTTAGATTCCAAAGGACTGAGTTCATCTAGCTGATCAAGTACTGGATAAGGGGAAAGGGAAGGGTCACAAGTGAACTAACATAACGGAGGGTGTGCTACTGGCAGAACAGCGCTCCTTTGCTAACCCGCGGAACAATTTACCAAGGGCCATGAAGGATTTTCCATCAAGATTGGATTTTTAAAAAAAGATTCTTTAGTTCAAAGGGAATTAGTGCAGGTCCCAGAGCTGCCCTCTGGCTCTGGGAGTTTTACAGGAAATGGGGCTTTGTGCTGGTTTTGGGAGACCCAGCAAAGTGCCCCACAACGAGCTGCTGGCTGAGGTGGTACCACTGCCACAGGCAGATTGAGCACATGCATGGCAAGGACCAGCTCTGGCAGAAAACGTTACATAAGAGCCAAGACGAAAGGTCCATCTAGCCCACTATCTGGTCTTCTGCCAGTGACCGATGCCAGGTACCCTAGAGGGAATGAACAAAACAGGTAATCAAGTGATCCATCCTCTGTCATCTACTCCCAGCTTCTGGCAGTCAGGGGCTAGGGACATAATCCCTGCCCGTCCTGGCTCATAGCCACTGATGGACCTATACTACAGGAACTTCTCATTTTTTAAAACCATGTATGCTTGTGGTCTTCACAGCTTCTGCTAGCAAGGAGTTTCACAAGTTGACTGTGTGTTGTGTGAAAAAACACTTCCCGTTGTTTTAAATGTGCAGACTATTTCATGTGATGAGCCCTAGGTCTTGTGTTATGAGAAAGAGTAAATAGCACTTCCTTGAAGTCTGTTTTAGTAATCTCCCCTCATACCAATGATGATGCCATCATCATTTTTGTTGCCCTTTTCTATACCTTTTCCAGTTCCAATATAGTGTTGCTCCCTCTACTACAGGGAGTGTCTCCATGAGTATCTTCCTGGGCCAGTCCCACCTCCACATACAGAATCAGATCCAGAGGAGTTGGAGGGTGACAATCCTAGCCCCTTAAGTCAATGGCCCAGGGTTTCACCCTGAGACTGTAGGCCCTGTGGTGAGTAGCATGTCTACAGCCAGCTTAGCTGCACTGACCCCAGCATGATTTGTAGTACCATAGTGCTAGGTGCTGTACAAACACAACAGTTCCTGCCTCTAAAGAGTTTACAGTCTCTAAAACAAGATAACACGGGGGAGTATAAGGAGACAATAGTGAGCAGTGTGAAGGGCAGTGGTCTCAGGACACCAGCAGCCTAACTTGTCAAGTTTTTGTAGGCCTGGAGAATTTGAAGGAGTGTAATCAAGTTAGGCCTGATCTACACTTCCAACTTAGAGCTAGTTACATCACTGAGGGCTATGAAAAATGTCATGTCCAAGAGCTCTTCCGTCAACCTAGCTACCAAATCTGAAGGATTAATTACATGGACAGAAAAAAACCTTTCTGTTGATGTAGGAAGCATCTACCCTATGGCACTATGACTGTGCTACATAGTGTAGCCATACTCTTAGTTTTGCAGATATTTATGGGGAGCTTTTCCAAGCTTGTGGGGCAGCATGAGAGAGAGCACAAAGGGGCTTATTTAAAAATAAGGGGGTGATCAGAAGTGGAATTAGACATCTTGATAGTGAATGAGATGATAGGGTGGGGATATGCCATGAAGGCCATAAGCAAGTGGCTACTGGTCTAGACCTCGGGCTGGTTTTTACCCTTCTGCTCACCCAAACCGGGAAGCACTATGCCTCTTGTGATACTCACACAGTCTGCAGGTCTGTCACATATTCCCACACAACCAACAAACTATCCCATGCTGATTGTCTTGAGAGAGACTTCCCCCACATAGTGCCTGTAGAAGGGGCACTTGGCTACTGGCAGAGACAAAAGAGCCCCTGGGTTGTAATCCCTGCTTTTCATGTTTCCGTTTCCTTCATTCTCACAGCCCTTTTGGGGAGAAAATAGCTGCTGTTCTCCTGCTTCACAGCTAAGAGCCCTGGGGCTGGATGAGCTCAAAACAGAGACTAGAATGAAGCTCTGAAATGTGACTGTCTCAAGGCTTGCTTTCTTTGCCATGCTGTCTTTTGGGAAGATTGGACTCAATTATCTCCTTGGGAAACACACCATAAATCTCTGTCCTGCTAGAGTGGCTTTAGCTTTTAAGAGTCTGTTGCTGCTTGTATGATATTGGGTGTAGTTGTGCAGCTCAAGTAATCGAGGAACCTGCATTTAAATCCAGAGAATACAAGTTCAGCCCCTGAAGATGACCCACTAGGTCACTGTTACACGTGGCTGTTCTGCTGCTAGACCATACTCTGCCCCCAGAGCCAGGGGGAGAGCTCAGGGATCCTCACACCCAGATTTCTAGCACTAGTTCACAAATAGTTGTGCCACCCAGTGGTAAAAAGTGTATTGTAGCTCCCTCTATGGGCTGCTCCTCACAGAGGATAAATAGCAAGGCTTCACCAGCAGTTTTCCTGATATTATTTGTATTGTCAAAAGAAAAGGAGTACTTGTGGCACCTTAGAGACTAACAAATTTATTTGAGCATAAGCTTTTGTGATAAATTGGTTAGTCTCTAAGGTGCCACAAGTACTCCTTTTCTTATTGAAGATACAGACTAAACACGGCTGCTACTCTGAAACCTATTTGCATTGTGGTAGTGCCGGGGAGCTCAGTCACGGGCTAGGACCCCACTGTGCTACCCACTCTGTGAACCCAGAGTCCCTGGCTCAGACACTGTACCGCATCAGCTGTTAGTGCGGTCGGTGGCTGTGCCTTGGATCTGAAGGTTCAAACCCTGCTTGGGGGGTAAAAAACAGCAAAAAGTCTGAGCCTGTTCGTTTTCGCCTCCCCGTTGATGGCCCCAGGAAGCCCACAACCACCCTCCTTGCACTAGTCACGTTGGCCTCTGGGAGGAGGAAGCTCAGCGTGGGGGAGATGTCATTCCCAGCTTGGGTCTACAGACACCTGCTAGCTCAGGGGTGGGCAAACGTTTTGGCCCAACGTCCACATTTGGGAATAGAAATTGTATGGCGGGCCATGAATGCTCACAAGATCGGGCTTGGGGTGAGGAGGCAGGTGCCACAGTCCCTCGCCTTCATCGCGGAGCCGGAGGTGCCGGGGCTCCGAAGCCACCTGCCGTGGCCCAGGGGCCCCGACCCGGGCAGAGCCACAAGCCGCCGCCTCCTGCCGCTCACAGCTTGGCGAACGGGAGCTGGCCCGGCGGCTGCCTCAGGCGGGGGAGGAGCCGCGTCCTGCCCCGTCCCCAGAGCAACCGGAGCTCCGCCCTGTACACACGGTCGCCAGGGAGACTCCGTGGGCAGCCGGCGCGGAGCATCAAGCGGAGCTCCGGGCCCCCAGCGCAGCCCCCTGCCCCGGGACCCGAGCGCAGAGCCCCCGTTCCGGGGCGTCCTGCCTGCAGCGCCATGGCCAGCCCGGAGGAGGAGGAGCAGGAGGGGTCCCCCGCGGAGGACGCCCCCGGCTCGGACCCCCGCGCCCGGCTGCTCGGGGAGCGCGTGGTGCGCAGCCTGCGGCTGAAGCCGGAGCGCTGGGAGCGCTGCGCGGGCAGCCCCGAGGCGCAGCCCCTGCTGCGGGCCTTCCTGGAGGGCGCCGCAGGGCAGCCGCCGCTGCTGCTGGTGACGCTGAGCCCGGCGGGGCAGCTGGCGCTCAGCACCCAGCTCCCCGCCAGCCCCGGCCGCAGCAAGGCGCTGTTCTTCCTGCGCAGGGGGCCCGGGCCGCTGAGCGCCCCGCCCGGCCCCGGGGAGCTGCTCTACGGGGACCTGCCCGCCTCCTCCCTGGAGCACTTCGCCGCCCTGGTGGAGGAGGTAAGCGGGGCGCGGGGGCGGATGGATGGGAGCCCAGGAGCAGCCTCTTCCTCTCGGCGGTTCTGGGCCCGGGCGGCTGGCAGGGACCTACCCCTGGGGCTGCCCCCCTTCTGGCCTGGCTCCAAGTATGTAGCAGCTGGGGGGAGCCGGCAAAGTGCCCAGCCTGGCCGTGCTAGTGCCCCTGGCCCCTGGGCTGGCCTGGCACCAGGAGGGAACCTCTCTGGTTTCCACCTTAGTTCAGGTTTCAGAGTAGCAGCCGTGTTAGTCTGTATTCGCAAAAAGAAAAGGAGGACTTGTCGTCTCTAAGGTGCCACTAGTACTCCTTTTCTTTTCACCTTAGTTCAGAGATCTGTGACCCACCCCGACCCTGGAGGCTCTGTCCCCACAGAATGGCTGAGCCAGGTGGAGGTTAAGGAGCTGTAGACTGGCCAAGCAGTGGGGTCTTTTACCTCAGGGAGCAGCAGCTCATGCTTGGGGAAGCAGATTTCAGGGTCAGTCCCTGCTGTGGTGACTCACCCAGGGGTGTCCCCCAGGGACACAGGTCACCATGGTGAAAAACAAGTTGCTAAGGGGTTGTGTGCAATGTTAAGGTAACATCAAGGAGAACAAGTTGCTAAGGGACAACAATGAAAACTGGAACCCACACAACACAGTGTAATGCTGTGTACCTCGGTACATCAGCCCCACATATCCCTGCTCCCAGATACCATCCATTCCCAGAGCAAAGCTGCTCTACTCATCCAAACTCACAGGCCAATAAGATACCCTTAATTCTGCCCTTTGTAAGCCCAGGCTAGCCCAGAAGGGAAGCGTTTACAAAACCAAAACACACCTGTAGACAGGACCTGTTTAATGCCAGTGTTCCAGTG